TAATTGGAGACAGGTTTGACAAAGGGGTTGCAGCCCGCAGGTTGAGAACCACTGTTCTAGATCATTCCATTAGCAGAGAGTCTCTCTGTTCGTAAACCTACTGCATACCTTATTTTCTTGGGTCGCAGCTGTATGTGGAGCAGGTGGTTGCTGATGCAGAACTGAGGCCACCCTTATTTTACTTTAAGACTCTATGAGCCCAAAATAGTCTCCTCTCAGTAATCATTTCCCCAATAAAATGTAAGAAAGAATGATGCTGTGGCAGCATAGGCTGCTGAGGAAACATTTGAGGAAATGATACGGAGGCCTGGTTTACCGTCCATAAAGCACCCTCGTGTGTGTTAGGCGCTTCATGTAGAAGTCATCACTATGAACCCCAGTGTCCGAGGCTGGGTAAAGCAAAGCAAGGCTGCATTCCCACTGAGCCACCACACTTGCGCAACAACACAGTAGACTGACTGAGGGAGCAAATGGCAATCTTGCCCGTGGAAGTGAACACCCTCTTGCCTGCTCCTGGGCTAGACTCTTTCCACGGTACATGAAGTCAGTCACACATAGTCCCTACAAGGCCAGCACAGGATGGGCACTGAGGCTTACCAAGCCCACAGCCTGGGTTAGACTCGTGTTTGAGGTTCATAGCCTGACTTTGTTGGAAAGCACAGCGCGTGGCCCGGGGATGTCATCTGTGAGAAGTGAGAGCTACTAAGTGTACAGTGAGTGCCAGCTGCTGTCACCATGGTCGCGTCGGCCTGAAGAAATGAGGAACACCATAGGCGCATCTGGACCCATCTAAGGCCGCAGAAGGGACACTCTGCTCCAGCTACCTTCTAACTGAAAACATGACAGCAAATGCAAACTGTTTATATGTTCTAATTGGCTGTAAGCAGTGGAATAGTGATTAACATAAGTTAGTTGTCTCAGTGTTTTGAAGTTTGCATGTTGAGCAATATTTCTCCTGTAATAAATCTAGTTAATGCTTATTTACAAAATAACTAAATTTCAAGTAATACATGCTGATGTTGCTAAAGTAAGTTTGTGGGTTTGTTACTGAAAATAAAGACCAAATAATTGAATTTTGTTGTGTAGCTAATTGGCTGTTGGAAAGCATGAAGAGGGCTGGAATTAAACTCAATGGAGAAGCACTTTGCTAGCATATCAGGGCCTTGGATTCAATCCCTAACACAAGAAGAGTAAAATAAACAAATACTATTAAATGTTGAAATTTTATCACAGTAGACAGAAATTGTTACTAATACATAATAGGCTTAAAATGTATTTAATTCTGTTGACTCTGGATTTGTTCACTTAATGAAAAAGAGAAGTGTCAATATCTCCAAATATTATTAATTGATGGCTTGATTTATAGATAGTTGGTATCCAGTTATTTCAGATTGGCATCATTTAATTTTGATAAACATGAGCACTCTATCTCTTTCTGGTGTTTAATAAACTTGTAAGATTATTATAGAAAAATAGCAAAATTCCCGCTGATGAATGTTCTCCCACGAGCCTGCCTGTACTGACAGTTCATTGGCCACAAGGATTCATCTGATTCTACAGAATGCAGAGGCATGACTTGTTCCCAACCCAGACTCTGTCTGGTCTGAAACTCGACCTCAGCAGGCCTCCCTGAGGCCTGGGCCACAGCATAGATCTCCCGTCAGATTGTACATCTCAGGAGGCAGGCTTCTGGGGGCAGTCCACGGTTAGGCCAAGTTATTTGGGAAAAGCAGTCACTGTGTTTATTTTTACAAGCCAGATGACGGTGCATACTGCATTCTTTTCTTGAAATAAAAGGAGTTTAGTGGGAGAAAGGGAAGGTTCAGGGTCACAGAAGAAGCCATAAGGGTATTTTGTAGATAGAAAGTTCCATTTTTACCTTGTATGCTGGTTTGGGAGAACAAAATAGTTCAGCTTCTCTGTGTACAGAATGAAGTGGGAGCTTCCCTCCAGAGCACAGGAAAGCCCTTGAGCCAGGACTCGGGACCCTGCCCCTGCTGATGTGAACAGAGTGATAGTGATGGTCTGAGGACTGAGTAGCTGCCTACCATGACTCTATTCCATTCCTATCAAGCCCATAGTTAAGCTTCCTTGACAAATACTGGATAATAGCTAGATATGAGAATGTGGGGTTGATTACAAGGACTATCTAATACTCTAAGTGATCCAGTGGAGAGGAAAGGAGCAAGTTTCTTATCAAGATAGGCCATGAAACTGTTTGTCACTCAGCCTGCACATTTACTGAGCACCTGCTTTGAGCCAGCCACCTTTCTAGGGACTGAGGAGGCAAGAGTGCAAGAAACAGGCCAAGGTCTTAGTCCGTTGCTTAGAAGGAGAAGCGCCCATAGTTCTGAAGAGAAACCATGACTGAGAAGAGACAGAAGAATGAGAGGGAATAGAATGGCATGCTGAATTGCAGCTGCTATGCAGACGTTGATAGAGAAGACACCACTGGGCAAAGCTTGAGTGAGGTAGGAGAGTGAACAGTGGGGCTATCCAAGAGAGAAAGCATATTCCAGACAAGGGGGCAGCCAGCAGGAAAGAAGCCTGTTAGCAGAAGCATGCTTGGTACCGACCATGAGCCTGCTACTGTCCTAGGAACTGAGGCTAAAGGACTGAGAAAAACAAGTCAAGGAATCTTGGGAATAGACTAGGAAGAGCTTTGAGGTCAATTGCCACCTCCTATCAATTTGTGGGAAGCCCTGCACTTAGGTGTTGACTACATAGTTTCCAATCAGTGATAAAGAGCTGGAACCTACATGTAACCATTGCTCTTCCTCTGGCAGCAAGGGAGACCCAGGATAGGACTGGGTTAGGTTTGTAGAGCACGGGAGACAGACTTGAAGAGCTAATGCTTCTCCTGGTAGGTAGCAGAGCCCGACCTCCGTGTTTCTCCTGTTTGTTTTAATAGCTCTACTTAGCGGTATGGAAGGTCTGGAATTGGATCTGTTTGTTCCATTTTTACATTTCAGGCGGTTAAGTGAAACCAAATCTATATTCCTGTCAATGTGAGGCAAAGAAGGAAAATAAACTCCAACACTTGGTGTAGACAAACTTCCACTTGGAAGAGTGGAGCGAGAATCAGGCTCCTTCACACTGACTCCCCTTCTTTCTACAGAGATGCCCTTCGGTGTCTCTCAGGCTTTCTTTGGCTCGATGTGTCCAGTGAGGGAGGTGAGGAAGCCCAGAGCACCATTGATGGATCTCATAACTCTGCTTTTAGCTACCTGTCTTTATTATGCATCCAGTGTATGCCAGCATTGTGCTGCTTGTGGAAGATCTGTGATGGGGGCATCCCTAGAGGTTTGTCATGGACAGGTTAGAAAAGGCTTCCTAAGCAATGTAGTGTGGATCTCAAACCCAAGAAACTAGGTTTCATTTACTTACTAACAAAATAGTTTGCTCATTATTCTGCTAAATTTATCTCAGAACCATGAACCCAGCATGACTGTTTACTGTAGGGAACTGCCCTGTGCATTGTGGGATCTCTTGACATGGCTGTTCTACACACTAGGTGCTGTTAAACTCTGTCCTCAGTTTCAACAAGCAAAAATATCTCCAAACCTTCCCGGTGTCCCATGAGGTAGAGAATCACCCCTGCTGAGAATCATTTGTCCAGAAAAGGAAGTCCCAGTCACACCTGGTTCTCCTTACAAGCACCAAGTCTCCAAGAATGAAGCTCTCCTCGTGAGCAGCTGGACTCATTTTCTGCTGAAGCTTGAACGATATAAAAACAGACTTACAGAACAGCAGGAGGATGTCACCTTAGCACTGGAGAAGAGTTTCCCACATTCAGAGTCAGCGAGAACCCAAGACACCTCAGTGCAACTGTTCTGAACATTCCCCACTGTAGACACATGGGTGCTATTAAACCTCATTGACCTGCTTATCAAAAGAAAATGCACATCTCTCTCAGAAACCCATGTGGAAAATGTCACTGTTTGTGTTCTACAGACAAGGAAGCTGAACTTACCAGGCAACATGACTATCAAACCACACACCACTCCTCAATGCCAGAGCTGACCTGGGGAGCTGGGACCTAACAGGCCTCACAGAACTGCAGTGTGTACACCATGGCACTTTAGAAAAATGTGTCGATCTGGGTGTAGTAACCTATGTATGTAATGTCAGCACTTATCACTTGAGCCCTACGGGTCAGTGTAACTGAGCAGAGCTGTTTGGATAACACTTCCTTTGAAAAGCCTCTTCCTTCAAGGTCACAAAACCTCCTCTATATGATCTGGCTTTCTGGCTTTGTCTGTGACACATGGGACAGCCTATGCCATGAGACCAAATACTGTTCATATGGGCAATAGGAGCTCAAAAGCATTCGTGGAATGGATGAATAAGTGCGTGAGCAAGTGCATGGGAATCGGAGGATAAACATCCAAAGAAGCGAAGGCATGCCTTATCCCTGAGGAAAAGTCAAGCTAGGCTTGTTCATCTTCTCCGTGTTGTCTTTCTAACTGACTTTATGTATAAAAACACTGTAACGTGGGAAGAGATTCCATTAGAGACAAGCACTTCCTTATCCATGTGATGAGGAACTGGAAAGCTGAAGACAGCCAGCACCTTTCTGAAGGTCACACAGCCTGTTAAGATTAGAAGTGGGCTTAGAATCCAGGTCTAAATGTGAACCCTGTGGGCAGGCAGCTACGAACTATCTGAGCTGAGATTAGAGCCCCGCTTCCTCTAGTCCCCATTCTCATCCTTACTGCTTTCTGTCTCAGAAAGGGAGAACGAGAGAGGGTTGCTTTTGTTTTCAGATTAAGGTATCTTAATGGGAAAGAGTAGTCTGCTGTCCCGAGAGGAAGGCTTTGGTGGCTCTCATGTTATGGAGAGAAACCACCAAGCAGGGAGTTTGCGAATTCTCACAAGTTCTTTGGCAGGCCCGGGGTCTTGGAAGCAGAGCATAGGGGAGAGGGAAGTGTTGGCACAGCCGTTAGGAGATAGGAATTAAGGAATGTGTAAGGAATCCGGAAAGACCTCAACTTAAAACCAGTTTAACAAAAACACTTTCACACCATATTTTTGTGAACTTAGATCATTTATTTTACTAAACCTTTCTTCCAAAGTGGCTAGTAAAATACTTAGAGAAAAGCTTGAGGGAACGATTCTGCCATTCAGAAACTTGGTCCTAATCCTGTGTCTTTCTGTGAGCCATCCTCTGGTGTTAGCTCCTGGTGTTCTCTGGAGGTCTCCCCAGCAGTCCTCTTGGGTGTTTATTAAAGCACCTCCTACAAGAGAATGGTTGGGTTTTGTTTTGTTTTGTTTTGTTTTGAACCAGGCTTGTGTACTTTACAAGTGGAAAAGTACATTCGGTTATGATCTTGTTAGTCCTGGCATCTGGCAGGACTTGAGGAAGCTTCCATTTCTGCAGGGATAATAGCTATTATATGCCAAGATGCATCCAAGCTGGACAGCACGGTCTGTAGCCCAGCCGCTCTTCTGAAGATAGCGTTTCCCAACCCGGAGTATACCGTGAGCAAAATAACTCATGGCCCACTCAGCTTCCCTCAGTTCCTGTTCCTGCATCTGAACTGACTCGAAGGCAAATCTGATCTTCCTACAACTCCCAAGAACACTTTGGGGTATGGGTGCTCAAACAGCTCACCAGGGCTTCTGGTCCATCACAAAGCCTGCATACAGTTCGTGGGCCAGAATGCTTGGCACATAGTCCTTTACCCACAAAGATGCTGTGGTGAGGCCTGGAGTGGGCTTTGAGAAGGCAGTCCAGGGCAAGTCAGTCCACATTTCCTCATTTTTATCTGTGGAACCTGGAACAAACAAGGTACCACACCGAAGGGAACATGGAATTGAATTCTTTGAATCCATTAAGAGAAACCCCATGGAATAAAAACATATGATTAAAAGTAACACAATCACCCTGCGTTTTTCTCTCTTGTTGCCATGTGTTAGATCTGGGATCACTTTGGACAACTACAAACCAGTCACATGTGTTGGGTTTTAAAACTTGTTTACAGGGTTTATCCAAAGCTCATCAATGAAACGTCTCTATAGTTCCCAAACCAGGTCAGATTCACAACAGAACTGAAGAGTGTTGACTCTTAGGATGTGCCATTTTTGTCCCCACCCCCAGAGCTTGGGCTCCACTACCCCACAGAGAATGTCCTGTGTGAATGGAGCCTGGGAGCCCAGCGATGGGACAGAGGTTCTGGACTACTCTGTGGCTCCTCCGCTCAAGAGACCATAAGTTGTTTTAAAAAAATAAATTAAAAAAAAAAGTCCTTTCCAAGTGGACTGGCCTACATGGGGTAGCTAGCTCTGAGGGCCTTTTCTAAGGGTCATCATGCATGCTATGTGGTGAGTTTATCAAATCCCCAAAATAAGCTGTGAGGCAGGACAGGTGGCAGCCCCAACTACACCCAGAAAGAAAGGGTCAGTTACGCAAGCCGTAGGGCTAGTGAGTAGCATTGCTGGGATCCTTGCCTCAGCTTTCTATCATGGTTACCAGAGACCAGGAAGCTTATGGTGCACGAGAGAAAGCTGTGTTGCGGCACTAAAAGTCCCCTGGTGGCTAGGCGCGGTGGTTTCTACTCGCTTGTGGGTGGACTCCATAAATGGCCGCCCCGGCTACCTCCCCTGCACAGCACCTCCTCTCCCTTAGGCTTTCTCTGTGTGCATTTCTGACTTCCTATTGTACCTCTGACTTCATTTCGCTTGTGTATTTGGGCAAGTTCATCCACTCCATCGTGTCCAGCCACCCCAGATTCTTCCTGAACTTCAGGCCTGCCTTTTAGCTCCACACTGGGAATTGTACCATGGCCAGCCGGCCGGCCTCACCCATCCTGCCTGACCAGGTTGTCTAGTAACATGTACAGTAGCCAGCACGTAATAGGCCTGTAATGGACGGCTAAGACATTAAAAACGGCAAAACTCAGTGAAGCATCTGCCACATTGTGTGGGTCTCACCTTCCAGATCATCTTTTACTAAGCTGTCGTCTTCCATCTCCCCGAAATTCCCACACGTGCTTTTCCTTCAGGTCACATGGAGTCTTGCATCTGTCTTTGTTCTGGTACTCCTGATTTTCTTTTACTTTTAAAATGGTACTCATGTCAGTGTCTTCTCAATAATGTACACACTTTAGAAGTGGGATCATGTTTTCTCAACAAATAGCCTAACACTATGATTTTCACACATAGGCAGAAAGAGGGAAAGGGAGGGAGGGAGAGAGAGAGAGAGAGAGAGAGAGAGAGAGAGAGAGAGAGAGAGAGATGCAGCCTCCCATGTTCCATTTTACTGTGAGCAGTCACTTCTTGTAAGTGAGAGAGTCATTCCTAAGATTCTAATCATGCAACCTGGTCAACATGGGTGAGAACCGGCCTTAAAGGGCACTTGCATTTGATCAGTTACAAACCGTTCTGATTTGGTACACGACATGTCACAATCACTCACCAAATGTCCATGTTACTTCAGGGGCCCTGCTTGCAGCTCCTGGGCCTAGCTCACCTGTGCTGGAAGAGACCAAGACACCACACTTTCAGGGATGCTCCAGGCTGCCACTTCCAAAAGAAAAAAAAAACAACTCAGAGCTTGTAAGATCCAAGGATCATTCCCTTGGGACCTGATAGAACTGGTACACACAAAGGAAATTAGTAAAGTGTATTTCTGGGTGAGTCTGTGTGGATGCCTCAACATCCAACAGTCAGCCTCCTCCCATCTGTAAAATAAAGAGAACACTCTTCCTCATGGGACATGTAGGTTCAAAGGGCAAGTTTAGCAGCGCATGGCATGGCTCCTGGTGTAGGTAGGCCAACCCATTTTCTTCTTGTGTCCCTAAATTATGCCTCTGCTTTTACTTGTCCCCAAGTGTGCCACCATGACAGTGAGCTGGGGCCCGGGATGAGACGCAGCTACCTGGAGGAAAGAGAAAAGACTAAACCATAGCCGAAGGTGTGAAACACAAGCTGCTTGCCTTTTTGCACACTGCCATGTGGGCGGCTCCAGGCCGTTCCCAGTGCGCACTATGACTGACTGACGGTTGGGTCACCGAGATTAGGCCATCAGCATCCTGCAGTCGAATGCCAGTTGTTAGGCAGCCGACACCCATTTGATGCTATCTGTGTGAAATGTTGAGACACAGATGCTTAAAGGCTTAGCTGGAGGGAGGGAGCCTTTGCCAAAGGAGTGGCTAATGGAAAGGCATTCACTCTGAAGGATGCAAAGGTGTTGTGGCAGGTATGCAGAGACAGCTGCTTCCTTAGATAGTCAGTCCTGACCCAGTGCCTTGTAGCACCCCCAAACAAAGGATGCAGGAGACCCACTTCAGTGGTCTTTACTGCTCTATTATAGGGCCCGGGGTGTTGACAGAAATTGTTTAGGATGGCATTAGCAAAACTGTCATATTGTCTTTTCTGATTGACACAATTAAAATGGTCATCAGCTGCCTTCCAGTACCACTGAGAAAATGGTGAATGATGGCATTGTAGAGCCATCCAGGTGAACTGTTGGCAGGGACCATGAAACATCTTCCCCTTCCTCTCTTCACAAAAAAAACAAAGTTGAGGCTCAGGACATTATGGGATATGTGACAAGTTTCCCATCAGCTGCAGTATTTGGTTAACTAGAATTACTTGCCTCTTCTCTTGCTTGGTATAGTAAGGGTAAATTAGGTTAAAATAAAATGGTTAGGATTCCTTAACTGTAAACAGCATGTATACATGCATAGCGGATACCTTGTTCTACCATTTAATGGAAAGACTCTGGACACATTCTTAAAATTCTTATATAGGTCTCAGTTTGCTCATCTGCATAAGGGGGGCAATAAGAACTTACTTCTTAGGTTTATCGTGAAGATTAAATGTATGTCCAGCGGTCCTGCCATCCTCTCCTTTCTCTCTACCTCTGTTCTCGCTTGAGCCACATTAAGGTTGGCAGCATGGCCATTGGCTTTGTGAGGACATGGGTGTGAACGCAGCGAGATCGCTGCATTTCTTACAGAATAGAAGTTGTGCTGATTAACCCTGATTATCAATCTAATTGGTTTGAGAAGCACCTAGAAAATTAGGAAAGTGTATTTCTGGGTGACTCTGTGTGGGCGTTTCTAGAAAGGATTAGCCAAGGCAGAAGACAGATCTCCAATGTGGGTGGTACCAAGCCCTGGGATAGAGTCCCATGGAATAACAGGAGGAAAGGAGAGAGCCAGCCAGGGAAGACACTACTCTCGGCTTCCTGGTCACTGTGATCTGAGTGACTCTCCTCCACCACACCCTGCCCACTGTGGTGGACTGTTACCTCTGAGCCCAAGAGCCAAAATAAATCCTTCCTCCTTGTGACGACTTGAAAGAAAATGGCCCCTAGAGGGAGTGGCACGATTAGGAGGTGTGGCCTTGTTGGAGTAGGTGTGGCCTTGTTGGAGGAAGTGTGTCACTGTGGAGGTGGGCTTTGAGGTCTCCTAGGCTTAAGCCAACCCCAGTGTTACAGTTCACTTCCTGTTGCCTGAGGGTCAAGATGTAGAACTCTCAGCTACCTCTCTAGTACCATGTCTGCCTACATGCTACCATGCTCCCCGCCATGATGATCATGGACTAAACCTCTGAAACTGTAAGCCACCCCAATTAAATGTTTTCCTTTATAAAAGTGGTTGCGGTCCTGGCGTCTCTTCACAACAGCTGAAACCCTAAGACACTCTTTTAAGATGTTTTCTCAAGTATTTTGTCACCAGCAACAGAAAAAAAAAACACTAACATAAAAGTAGTAATGTCCACTTGTGTGACACTTATGTGGTATAAATATTATATACAGGGAATATTTGTACGTACACATGTGCCAGTTAGTGGTCAGTATAATTATGGACTCTAGAATGATGATAAGGCCTCTGAAAGCACTAGAAGTGTAGCACTAGGAATTGTCAGTCTCCATTCACTCCACACTTATCTCATGAGGGCTGCCTCTGTTCCAGACACAGTTGGGCACAGTGGACACAGATTTACAGTGTGCTGGGACAAGTGACTGTTTCTCATGAGCTCTCAATCACTGAGGAAACAAGCCCATCCATTCCACTGCATTTTCAAGTAATCCACACTCCCCTGCAGGACCCCCACTTCCAGCTGTGGGGGTGACTGTGTTTCATATCCCCTCAGATCAAAAGGTCTCTCTGGGAACAGTGATCCTGAGCAGTGAACTGGCTGTTTCTAGCTTGAAAGGATGGAGCAAGGGCCTTGTGTCACGACTTCTAAGTGTTGTGCCTGCTGGAGCTGCACGTGGGAGACATAAAGGAGGCTTCCAGACGGGCAGCTTTACTGCTTGAGCTCTTTAAATTGCCAGGCTACATTTTTCGGGAAGCCACATGAAAGAATGCCATTTTGAAAATGAGTATTACCTCAGAAAGAATACAAAAGCAGTATGGCATGTTGCAGGCTCGTCCTCCATGCTATTACTGACATTGTGGTGTCATTTCTCCAACATGTGACTGAACCCCTAACTGAAAAACACTCACAGATGTCCTCTCTTGCCAGGAATGCTATCCAGCAAGCGAGCACAGCAGTGTATGCACAGATACACAGACACACAGACACACACACACCCTATACACACATGCATTCATGTACATATGTGCTTACAGTTAAAAGACATTTTAAATATGTAAACTACCCTCCCTTTGGACTCAGTCTGCGTAATATAAAGAACCATTGGCTGGACTCAGGATCTGGCCTCTGATCTCCCCTCTGCTGTAACTGAGAGAAATCGCCAGGTCCTCCTCACTCAGGAAAACCCCGGCCTGTGAGGGAGTTTCCTGTGCTATGTTTTGGATATCTAGATTCCAGGCTACAGGCTTTGACAGACACCCTCTCTGGTTATCCCAATATTTCATATCTTTTTCACTCTGAAAAGACAATGTGCTCCCTGGAGGTAGAGGTCAAGTCAAGCCATGTTTTGACTCTTTCTTTGAGTGAGGTATAGGACAGTGCTTGATGGTAAGTGTGTCCTTGTTGTTGGCCTTAATAACCAGCACAGTCAGCCATGGCTCTGTTGGTAAGTGCACCTAAGTTATCATCTGCTATATCATCTTGGGAGACATAAAATATAAAGGGAAAGAGCCTAGAGATTCGATTACGAGGAAACTGGGGGAAGAAGAAAGTGTCTCGGCACCTCTGGCGTGGAGCCCCCCCCCACCTTGCCAGCCAATAGCTGCTTATTAAGCAGAGGTTCCTTGATCTGTTCCACTGCCTATTCCTAATCCTTAAAACATTCACTGTTTAGCATGACCCTAAGACTCAATGAGATAATACTTGGCAAATGCTGTGTATACAAGAAACTATTCTCAGCGTTATCCACTACTTCAACTTTCAATTTGGTTTGGGTCAGGGGGAAAAAAAGGATTATTTTCTTCTCTCAAACCAACAAGGGATGGGAGAAAGGTATAGAAATCACATTTTCCAGAACTACTTAGGATTATGGAAGAACTGAGATCTCTTGGTGTTTGCCCTTTTCTCAGAGCAGCTTGACCATGGTGGGCTACACAACTGATGGGTCTGTTGTAATCATGTGGGTTTTGCTTGCCGCACACAAACTATCCTGTGATACAAGCAATGTGGAGCCACGCAAATCACTGAGGAGCAACTGAGACTTGGAGTTTGCAAATGCCCCAGAGTCACCCTAGCAGTTCTGTCGCGGCTCCTCCCTTGCCTGTCCTCTGTCCACAGTGCCACATTAACTGTCCTGGGCTCCTATTCCAGGCACTCCCTCCCAAGTTATTCCCACCATAAATACAGACTCAGCCTGCTTTCTAGTCAAGGACATAGCTTACCAGAATTTTGTCTCCATAAAAATCACTAAGGCGGTCAAGCTAAAATTCCATCACACTTGTAAATCTCCAGTGTTCCCGAAGAAATGTGATTGATTTTTCATTGCACAACAGGGTGGTTAAGAATAGATGGAGCCGAGTCTCACCCTCCCTTGGGTCCTCGCCAGGTCAGGGGAAACTGGGAAGCCCTTTCGAGCACTGGTGGACCATACTTAGCATAATTCACTGGCACGGGTGTGGGTAGGAGTGAATAGGGTAAGGCACATGAAGCCCCGCTCCCCTCCCAACTCATTGGTGGGAGCTGTGGTGTGTTTACTGCTCCTGTTTGTGGAAATTAAAAGAAGATTTGTGCCTGGGTGAAACCTGCAGGCCAATGTGGTCCAGGTTTGACAATGTTAATGAAACACCTCTTCTAGCTCCAACCAGCATTGCCTTGATGGGTCATTGTAACCCAGGACCGGAAGAAAAGGGTAGCTCCCTGAGGTTGCCATGGGGCTACTTGTTTCTTTCCTTGCAAAGACATTTCAGGGAGGTTTTTTTTTTTTTGTTTTTTGTTTTTTGTTTTTTTTCAGGCATGTCGCTGACCCCACTTAGCCTCCAGGTAGAACACTGTCCAAGCAGGATAGGAATGTTGGCATTTATTGCTTGCTCACTGAGGGAATGTAGCTTCCTTTACTGCTTCTCCCAGCACATTCCCCTTTGGCAGAATTTTTCTATGAGGCAGTGGAAGGAAAGGGGAGTCCTAGCCCTGTAGTT